TTTAGGAATTTTCTAGCAACAAATCCAGAGCTAAGGTAGCTACAAAAAAGGGGAGAATAATGCGTGGTTACTTTTCTTTTTAAGCTATATCCCCAAGTTTTTAGACTTGTTTCAGTAAATGTTAAAGGAATAGAGCTAAGTGAGGTTACGTGTCTGAGCCATGAAGTATAAGTGCTGCTGGATGTCATTTTATTGAAGAATTAGGGGAGAATCTAGTCATAGATTCATACTCCAAGTCATATCTTACTTTCCAAGACGCATATTTCCCTATGGTCTATATGATTTCTTGGTTTCTCCAGTTAAGTCAAAGCTACATGTTCCTCCTTTCCCATATATTTTTGCTTGTCAGTGTATTTCTTGGGCTGTTTTCATATTACGCCTTTCCTTTCTGTGAAATGGTTTTTGTTGTTTTTAACTTGGGACCACCAAGTTGTAAAGATGTACGTTTTTACTGACAGCTGGGCCTCTCCGGTAGACTGTCAAGTTGAGAAGGGTGATTTGATAGCTTGTATTTGTTTTTAAAATTAAATTAATCCTTGATTAAGAAAAAAATAAGTAAAAAACTAAAGAGGTAATAAATCTGGGGAGGGGCTGGTGAGATGGCTCAGTGGTCTAAAGCACCTACTTAGAACAAGCTAAGCAAAGCACATGGCTTCAATCCCCCAGCACCACATGCCAGCCAGCCCCGCCCCCTGGTGGGCTGAGCTGGCCACACACACATACACATAAATAAATAAAATTTAAAAATAAATAAATAAATCAATCAATCAATCCGGGGAACATGGTACTCTGAACATTGAGGCATGTTTTTAAGTAGCCAAAATGAGCAACTTAGCAAGACTCTGGCTCAAAAATAAAAAGGGGGATTTAGCTCAGTGATGCAGCACCTGCCTGTTAAGCAGGAGGTCTGAGTTTGATTCCAGCTACCAAAAGGGGTGGGTGGGTGAGTAGTACTAGCCCTGAGTTCAATCTCCAGTACTGAAAAACAGAAATAGACAAGGAAAACAGAAACAAAACAAAAAAATCCCCACAAACTGAAGAGGGAACCACTAACATCATGAAGATCACCCCAAATATATCTCTGAGATAATTTGTGATCTCCAGCTTATGTACTAGAATGAGCAGAAACAGGAGCACAAATGGAAACAAAACAAATTAAGTGCTAAGTAGTAAGAAAACTATCTACTTTTTCTGAATGTAGGGTTCAGGATCAACCCCATAGTTTCGTGCATTTCAGGCAAGCTTACTACCACTTGGCTTCATCTCATGCCTTACCATTTCTCTACTGAGCATTGCTTTCAAATTTAGTGGTGGAAAAGTATTTGTTGGCAACTGCATTGAAGCCCTGTGATAAGCTAAAGAAAATGGTTTCATTTTCATATTCATTAGCCCACAAGTTTTGTTTTGTTTGAGACAGGGTCTCACTCACGGCAATCCTCCCACCTCAGCCTCCTGAGTGCTGGGATTACAGGCATGCCCAGCAGTATTACACTTTTGAATATATGTATAGTACTATGATGCTTTGAGATTCTATGACGTGCAGTAAAGATAACAGAACGAACAAAGGTAAAAAAGATCAACATCTCAACCACATGATCAACACTTCACCAAAAGCGGAACAAACAGTTTATGCTCTGATTTCTCCACAGTCCAGCACAGTGTCTCATCCTGAGCTACATTCCTAGCTCTTCATTCTCTGGAAGAAGGTCCTGCTATATTATTGCCCAGGCTGGTTTTGAACTTGGACTCTGTCACCCTAGTACCTGGAATAAGGTGTATGCCACCATGCCATCTGTTCTTTAACACCTAAGAACTGTGTCCAATTAAGGAGAAGAAACTAAAGTTTTTTTCTTAGACCAGGGATGGTACTCTTTCTTTCTTTCTTTCTTTCTTTCTTTCTTTCTTTCTTTCTTTCTTTCTTTCTTTCTTTCTTTCTTTCTTTCTTTCTTTTTTTTGTCCTAGGGATTGAACTCAGGACCTTGTGCTTGCCATGTAGGCTCTTATGCCACTGAGTTATCTCTGCAGCCCCACACGTTTTTTTCTCTAGGAGGAGAGAGGTAGGGCTCAGGAGTTTCTCTGAAAATTTCTTACTTTTTTGTTTTCACTGTGATGATAATCTAAGAGCAAGAAGTAAAAACCTGAGTGAACTAGGTGAGTGCTCTCTAAATCTTCCCACCTACCAAGGGCCATCATGCTGGCTCTCTGCAGTGTTCCAGGGCTGAATGGTGCTGGTCTCCTGGCTGCGAGGATGTGCAGAGCTCTCCCAGCAGGGCAAGTGGTGACTGTTGCAAGGGCTTCCCTGTGCATGGCAGAGCGTTCAGCAGCACCCTCTCTAATGGTGACCCCAGAACATGTCCAGACACCACTGGCTGGGGCTCAGACTCCCCAGTATGGGCACCATGGCTACTGAGGTGAGGTGCTGCCACAGGCCAAGGGACACTGCTGGATGGTGGCATTCACCACCCACATTCACAGAGTGGGGATTGTATCAGCCCTATTTAGGTTTCATGTGTGAATCTGTTTTGCTTTCATTGAATGTTCCCCCTTTGCCAGGTGCGGTGGCGCACAACTGCAATCCCAGCACTTGGGAGCTGAGGTAGGAGGACTGACATGAGTTTAAGGCCAGCCTGGGCTACAGAAAGAGTTCAAGGTCAGCCTCAACTATGTAGTGAGACCCTGTCTCATTAAAAAAAAAAAAAATCCATCTTTTTATTTTTCTTCCAGGGGCTGGTGAGATGGCTCAGTGGTCTAAAGCACCTACTTAGAACAAGCTTAGCAAAGCGCAGGGACCGCGGTTCAATCCCCCAGCACCACATGCCAGCCAGCCCCGCCCCGCCCCCTGGTGGGCTAAACTGGCCACACACACACACACACACACACACACATAAATACACACATACATAAATAAAAAAAATATATTAAAATATATTATTTTTCTTCCAGTGCTGGGGATCAAAATCAGGACCTTGAGCTGGCTAGGCAGGCATTTATACCACTGAGCTATCTCCCCAGCGCCTTCAAAAAAAAGGAAAGAAAAATTTTCTCCTTCAACAGCAATTGTTTTTCTTTATATTATTCAACTGAGTTACACTGTGCCAATTTACTTTTTTCAGCTGAAACTTTATTGAAACTTTCAACAGCCCAAGTATTAGTACTTAAATATTGTCTGTTATTAATTCCATTATAAAACAGAGAGAATAACTTGCAAATTGGAATGACTTGCATTCACTGTCATATTTTCTTTCCAGCACTGCCAATATATCTTGCCCATATATATGCTCTCTAATTTTTTTTCTTCAAATCCAGCAGCACTGATACCACCATTAAAACAGCGTCAAAAGGCCAGTCATGGTGGTGTATGGCTGCTGTCTCAGCACCTGTGAGGCTGAGGCAGGAGGGCCACGTGAGTTCAAGGCCAGCCTAACTGCATGGTGGGACCCTGTCTCAAAGCACAACCAAACAGTGTCAAAGACAGGTGGGCTGAGAAGCTGTTCTGAACATGACTTTATCAGAAGACCTTCATCTCCACACTGGGGACAAAACCTAGGGGTTCTGCACTGAGCTACATTTGCTTTTCTTTTTAAAAATTTTGAAGCAGAGTACCACAAAGCTGTGCAGGCTCAGCTTGAACTTGCAATGACCCTCTTGCCTGTGCCTCCCAAGTACTGGGATCACAGGTGTGTGCCAAGGAGTACAGCCAGGAGAATATCATCTAATCTGGGGGTTAGTGGGGAAGGGTCACTGTAACCACAGCTGGTGTCCACTGCCTGGAAGCAACAGGAAGACCTGGTTAGAGCTTGCCTTTCACTTGTCCACTGAACTCTTAGAGTTGGTTGGAAGATGAAGAAGAAAAAGCAACAAAACAACAAAAATCTGATCCAAGAAGTCCAGCTTTAGACATGTTATTCCAGTGATGACTGTAAAGTCTAACAAAAATCACTACTGTACCTCACACAACCTGGCCAGCTTGCTAATAACATGAGGTCAGATGGCTCAGAAGAAAAAAAATTTTTTTGGTGGTACTCAGGATCGAACCTACAGAACTCTACCAATCCTTTTTGCTTTGAGACAAGGTCTTGCTAAGTTGCCCAGGCTGATATGAAGCACAGAATCCTCTTGGCTCAGCCTCCCCAGCAGCTGGGACCTGAGTATGAGTATGTCCTTTCTGGCTCCAAATTGTTCAAGAGGCAAAACTGTCCCATGGATCTGAACGATATTTCTCATTCTAAAGTCCCTCAGTAACCGCCAGTAACTTGTTAGGTCCAAGTTTTTTTCTTAACAAAACCAAAAGACTATAGAGAAAGTGTAACTCATTTTGTAGCTCTCCAACACAAAGCAGTGGTGTTTTCCTCATTGAAGAGGACATGTAACTTGGTTTCCTTTCTCAAGCTTTATCTGCCTTCCAAGGTGTGCTTTGGGCCAAAGAGCATGACTGACAGGGAAGGCAGCACAGAGAATCTGAGCTCTGGCCCTAGCCCCATCTAGGGCTATGGGTCCCTCTGGCTAGAACAGGTGGGGGAACTGGAAACAAAGCACCCCTTGAGCCTTTGGCTAAACTGCTGAAGGAAATAGATTTAAAAATTACTCAAAGCCACAGACATTATCTAAGATTCAGGAAACTCACGATTCTCCATTCTACTTCAAATAACAACAAAAGTCAGGGCATGGTGGTGTGTTCCTATAATTCCAGCACTCAGGAGGCTAAGGCAGGAGGATTGTTGTAAGTTCAAGACCAGTCTGGTGAGCTCCAGGCCAGCCTGAAATGCATAGTGAGACCCTGTCTCAAAGAAAAAAAAAAAAAAAAAAAAAAGCAAGAAAGTATGATATGGTTGGGAGAGGAAGGGGGTGTCTAGCCAGGAACTCTGCCAATGAGAAAGTCACAGAAAGCCTGGCCGACACAAGCAACCACAGTCGCCAAGCTCTCTGGGCCCACCCACAATGCTAGCCACTTTGTGCACATGAGCTGAGGCGCCTTGCACAACCAGAGTACCACTGCTCACCTGCTTGTGCGCATGGTCGTAGGAGTTGATGTGGTTGTCGAACTCCTGGTGCTTCTGGTACTGCTTATCGCAGAGCTCACAGTAGAAGTTGGCTCGCAGGTCTTCCAAGGCCTTGGCAATAGCCTTCTCTTTGTCAACATAATCCTGCAAGAACCATAAAAAGAAACAAACAATAAAGATAAATGTACAATTCAAGGGGAATGTAGGACTAAAATAACAAATTTTGCTTCCTAAGATTTCAGACTTTAGAATAGTATTACAAAGCATAAAATTGCCATAAAATATTTAATTACAAAATGCCAAGCATGAAACACCATAAAAACAGGCAGACTGCAGAGAGAATCAAAAAGGATGGTAACAACAGCAATATGTAATTATAAAATAGGCAAACGAACAAACAAAACAACCCTGAAAGCAAATTAGATAGAGCTCAGGAAATATTCACAGGACAGTGTTAACAAGAATGCAAACCTGGCTGTACAACCCGGTAACTATAAAATGGAGATCCATGAAAGTGAGTTTTATATGTGCAGTATGGCTCATCTTAAAAAAGATGTAACCTGAAAGATGACTGGAACCCTAGAAAAAAATGCAAGAACAAGCACAGGCAAAAGAAAGATGTTTATGGGGTAATGGCTGCGATTTTTCCGAGCTGGAGACAGGCATGAGCCTCGAGGCGGTAGCATGAAGTGCCTTGCTCACTACAGCAGTGTGTCCCAGCACGGGCACCTGTGGGCACAGTAGCACCCAGGTGCGAAGCTCATGTCTGCCAACAGCCCACACACAACAACACACACAGCAATGACAGGAGAGTCCTTAACTGTTCCTCAGGGCTCTCATTAGAAAACCACTCCTTGTTCCTTACTAAAGTACTTTCTTGGAAGTTCCTCTGAGCATCTTCTTATAGAAAACTATTTTTCTCTATGTTCCAATAATACTTTTTTTTTCTTTTTTTTGTATTTTAGGGAAGGGTCTACAGGGTGTTTGGGGTCTCACTACCAGATCAGACTCAGAGTGATTCGCCTGTTTACAGCCTCCCAAGAGCTGGGCTTATAGGTGGGCACCACCACACCCAGTCTCAACTGCCAACTCAGGGTATCCCAGGGCGGGGCAGGCAAGGCAGGCCGGGGAATAAAACCCCTGGCCCCTGCGCCTGCTTACAGGCACTTTAATCTGCTGAGCTACTGGGCCGGCCCTCTAGCCATTAATTATAAATATATTTATGAACTGCACCACAAAGATGCCAGTTCCTGTACTGCCTGCTTAGGTAATGGCAAGGAACGAAACTGCCTTCTCCAAGTGGACCACTTTTCCATGTTAACACAGGAAAGTCAGCTCCAGATTGGTACTTCCTCTGCATTGCCCTTAAATATTACACGGTTGCTACTATGATACACCTAAGTATAAATAAATCAAAAAACAAAAGGAAAGAGCACAGCAAACAGGGGAATGGAGCTTTTGCAAACAGAAAGGGAAAGCAGAACTCAGATGAGTTATATCCATGCACCAACTCCTCATGAGCAATGCAATCTTTAGGTACTGCAAAATTCAGTTTGTTAGAACAAAGTAACAAGAAAAAGTGATGGGCTGGGGAGATAGCTCAGTAGATTAAGTGCTTGCCTGGCAAGCGCAAGGGCCTGAGTCCAATCCTCGATTCCACAAAAAAAA